ATATATTGGGTTGTTGGAAAAGTCATGACACATTTTTGCAATGAAAAACATAGAAAAAATATGTAATGACTTTTCCAACAACCCAATATAAAGAACTACAACTCAACATCAACCCAATTCAAAAATGGGCAAAGGACTTGGATAGACAGTTCTCCAAAGAAGATGTAGAAATGGCCAATAAGCACACGAATGGGTACTCAACATTACTAATTGTTAGGAAATACAAATCAAAACTGTGAGATACCACTTCATACCCAGTGGGATGGTAATTAGAAAAACAAAATGTGTTGGTGAAGATGTGGCGAAATTAGAACCCTTGTGCATTGCTTGGAGGAATGTAAAATGGTGCAGCCCCTATGGAAAACAGGATGGTGGTTCCTCAAAAAATTAAACAGAATTACCATATCCAGCAATTCCACTTCTGGGTATGTACCCAAAGGAATTGAAAGCAAGGAATTGAACAGATATTTGTCCGCCCATGTTCATAGCAGCATTATTCACAATAGCCCAAAAGTGGAAGCAACCCAAGTGTCTTTTGATGGATGGATAAACAAACAAACAAAAAAATGTATATGTATTAAAATGGAATATTATTCAGTCTTAAAAAAGAAGTAAATTCTGACACATGCTACAACATGGATGAGCCTTGAAGATATGCTAAATGAAATAAGCTAACCACAAAAGGACAAATACTGAATGATTCAACTTATATGAGAGGCACCTAGAGTCATCAAATCCATAGAGACAGAAAGCAGATGGTGGTTGCCAGGGAGGAGACGAGAGTTGTTTAGTGGGTATGGAGGTTCTGTTTGGGAAGATGAAAAAGTTCAGCAGATGGATGGTGGTTGCACCACAATGCGAATGAGCTTAATGTCACTTAACTACACCCTTCGACGTGGTAAACTTGACGTTATGTGTATAGTACCATGATTTAATTTTTAAGTTGGACCATATCTAGAGGTTGTGAATCAGTAGAACCTCTTACTCATTCCTGGTGAGAGTGTAAATTGCAACAGCCCCCTGGGGAAGTGTGTTATTACCCGGTACAGATAAACATTTATACTCCCTTTCATCTACCACTTCGCTTCTAAGTATATCCCCCAAAGAAACTTGGACAGGTAGCAGGACACACGTACAAGAGTGTTTTCGCGGTCATGCTCTTTAATACCCAAATCTGAAAACTACCCAAATGCCCACATACAGGTACAGGAATATACAAATAAATCGGTATATTTATACAGCACTCTGAATTAATTTACTACTATATGCCGCAATGTGGATTAGTCCTAGCAATATAATATTGAGTAAGAAGAGTGAGTCCTTAATTACATATAAACTTAGTAACTTTATAAAAATCCCCCCACCCCCAACACTGTTTAGGAATATATTTACCTGTGATATGACAAAGAAAAGCAAGAAAATGATGATTCTGCTGGTGTTACCTTGAATGGAAAAAGGCTGGGTGATGCAATGGAGGTAAATGTAAGTGTATGTCCTAGTTTTCATGTTGGTGGTGATTTCAGGGGTAGTGTATTATTTTGAATGAATGAACGTTGCAGTCTTTGCGCCACTGATGAGAGTGTGTCATGAGCCAAGAATAATGATGAATCAAATTCTCTGCATCTGAGCTCCAAAAAAATTTTTTTGCATTCAGCTGTTTGATACAAGTAAGGAGAAGAAAGGGAGGAAAGTAATCTTTTAAATCACTTGCCATCAAGTAAAAATGACACTAAAAAAATGTGTCACATTTCTCTTGTGGCTTCAGGTACCCTCTGATTGATTGCCACTTTTGCCTGGGCATTTAAGCATCCCAATTTTAGAAGATCATAGTGGAAAGTCACAAAACATCTTGAGCTTGGATGGTAATTTTGCAAAATAAGCAGTGGTTTGGTTTTTTGTTTTGGTTTTTTTTTTTAATTAATCTGGCAGCTTTAAGTAGGGTGGAGTCATCTGAAGAGAGATTGCAGTCAGAAAACCAACTGTCACCTACACCATGATGCAGTTTTCAAGTGAGGAAGCCCGGAACTAAACAAGTAGTATCCATAGAAATTGAGGAGAAAGAGTAAAATCCAAGAGAATTTTGAAGGATGAAATACTAGTACTTAGAACTAAGTAAGATGAGCTGAATAAGACTACGTTAATAATTCTAAGTTTCTCCCAGTGGCATGTCTAGGTCTTACGTGACCTGAAGCTTATACAATTCTTGGGACTCTCTTTAAGAAAAAGAATATGGGATTACAAGTCAAAATTAGATACAGAAGTGAGGACTTAATTAAAAGGAGCCAGTGCAAGTGAGGATCTCAAGTTTAAGGTTCATTAATTTCATGGATTCTAACCTGTGTGGTGACAAGCCTGACAGAGTGACTGGGAAGGGTAGCATTTTAATAAAGGAAAATACCCAAACTTCAGTTTTAATGTTAAACTTTTATAGTATTAGAATTAAAAGGAGCCTTTGAAAATATTTAAATACCTAAACAAATCCACATTTCTTTTCTCATCTGTGAGTCTGGGCCGTCTTCATAGAAGCCTAAAATCCGAGATGATTTTTCCCATTATAAATACACATTGTCCTGCTTAGTCAGTATTCCTGGTGTATTGTGGCCAACAATCCACTTTTACTCACTGAACAGACTCACTCTTACCCTTCATTGTAGTGATTCACTTTGCTGCCAAAAAGACACTGGTTTTGTTCGTGGAGAAGCACAAGTGCCGTATGAGTGTCCATAGCTTCATTTCTCTGACTCAGGTTCTTTATAGGAGATCAGTCTTGAACTGACCTCCACGTCTAGCTCAGGGCCTCTTAGTGGATACTCGGAAATGTTTGCGACAGGGACGAAATGCATGTTCCACATACAAAAGCCACTCGACCAGAGCACAGGACATTTTCACTCTCCGTTCCTGTGGTCCGGGTCACTTGCCCTGTCCCAGGCTGAGGGGAATTGCTCTACAGGACTAGTGAGAACGCTCTCACTCACTTCCATACGAGTCTCAATTTTTTGTGGTCTGTTCTCGGTGTTCTCTCTTGAACCCGTGCAAATATAATAATTCATTCCAATGGGTTCTGAACCTGGAGAGAGGCCACACAAACATTACATATGGAGGCCGGAGGACTATATCAATATGAGACAAAGTAGACGTCAGGGCAGCATGTTGCCGGGGACAAAGAGGACATTTCATAGGAATAAAAGAGTCAGTTCAACAGTCTGAAATGTATCTGCACCTAACTCAGAGCTTCAAAATAACACGAAATAGAAACTGACAGACCTGAAGGGAAAAACAGATAAATCTACAATTATAGTTTGATACAAGTAGACAGAAAATCAGTAAGAATATAAAAGTCCTGAAAAACATAATTAGCAAAATTGATTTGAGACCTAAATGTAAAAACATAAAACCTTACAAGCCCCTCAAGAAATGGGTGAATTGCTTTAGAAATGGGAGAAGGGAAATCTTTGCTTAACTATTCCCCTGACTCACAGGCTGATAAGGTTAAATACTTAGGGATTAAAGAAACATTTGCAAACAGCACTATACGCATGGCAAAAGATGGATGAAAAACAATAATGGCAGCTTGTAGCACAGACAGAAGGCTGCACGTGGAAAAAACTCTTCATATGAGACCAGAAGCATGACAGGACAATGGACAGGATTTACCAGTACCGATTTCACCAAGAAAAGTCCCTTAAACAAATGAAAAGATAGTCGTGCTCACTCAGAAAGTCAGTTTAAAACAATGCAGAGACACCATTTTCTCAACTATCATTTCATCTCAACTATCAAATTGTCAGAAATCCAAAAATCTGACCACACACCCAGCATTGCTGTGAATTACCAGACACGCATACATTACTAATGGCGATACAGAATTGTACGGCTTGTGCAAGGGAACCTGGCATTATCTAATGAAACTACATATGCAAATCTATGTTCAGGAAACCACCTTGAAGAGGCAACATGAGGGAGAAGAAAAAACCCCAGAGTCTCCATTTTCATGGTCTTTGCCCTCTCACTATTCAGACAGCCATTTCTTCCCATGCGGGGAACTGATAAGCGACTTGTTCTGCCCCAGGGGTTTCTTACAGTAATTACATTAAGCCCTGGAATCTTATCAGCATCCTTCTTGCTACCCTGGCACTAAAGGTTGGGTTGGAAGCCGCATTCAGCCCAAGTTTGCCATCTTGTCCCCAAAGGGTCATTTTTGGAAGGTTTTTACTTTTCAAGAAATTTTCGCTCTATTGAGGTATAATTGACAAAACTGTAAGGTGTTTAAACTGTACATCGTGGTGATGTCCTTCATGTAGACACTAAATGGCTTCTTCCCCACACCCAGATAATGAACACCTCCGTCGCCTAACATATTTAGTGCGTGTGCGTGTGCGTGTGCGTGTGTGTGGTGAGAACATGTAAATTCTACTCTCAGCAAATTTCAATTATACATTACAGCATTCCCAACAGGTCACATGTTTGACATTGGATCCTCAGACCTTATTCACTTTGTAGCTGAAAAGTCAACATGGACGCCTTTTATTCCGTTTTCTTGACCAACTGCTCTGGCTGGGACGTCTAGTACTCTGTTGAGTTCAAGAAAGAGTTCTTTTCCTAGTGAGGGGTAATGAAGGAATCGATGCCTCTTACTCGTCGCAGGACTTACCCATCTCTAAGGGAACGCGGCATCATTTGGGAGCCACATCTAGATTGTTATTTAAAGTATAGATTTTTCAAATATTAAATTAACCTTACATTTTGTTGAATACACAAAACTGGGTTATGATGGATTACCTTTTTTATGTATTGCTGGATTTGGTTTGTTAAAATTGTGTTCTGGAGTTTTACATTTCTTGCTCCTAAGAGAGACGGGCCTTTAATCTTCCATTCCCGTCATTTGTTGTCAGGTGTTGAAAGTGATGCTGGCCTCACAAGTGAGTTGTGCAGTGTTTCCATGGCTTTCTTCTCGCAGGTAGAGTTTGTGTAATCTTGGGACTGACTTTGCTGGGAGTGTTCGGTAGAATTCATGGGTGAAAGCTTCTGAGCCTGGAATTTTGTTTTCTTGTGCTGTATTTCATTGGAAAGTTTTCCATTTTGCAAGGGGATTTCACTTCTGCACAAGGAGTCAGACTCCATTCAGTCCAGGGGGCAAGCCCCACAGCCTTGCCAGCGATAAGTAGTGGGCTTGGCTGGGCACCAATAGGGCAGATGCTTCGAGCAGCTCTGCCAGCTTGAAGATAAGCTTCTGGTTTGGAGCAAGTGGCGAAGCAGCCAGAAGCATAGCAGGGGATTCTGGAAATGAGAGAGGCTAGTCTGGCTCAGGTAGCTCCTCTCACGTCCTTGGCTGCCTGGGACACTGCACTTGGCTGGAGTCAACCCAAGAGACCCGGAGAGCCCAGCAAAAAGCCAAAGACAAGGGAGGCTTGCAAACTGCCTGAAAGGCTGAGTGCATCCCCCAGTCCACACACATACCGGTCGGCAGAGGGTAGGGGCCTGATCCATTCAGGGTCTGCCCAGACCACCGACCGACCACCAAGCCCTGCAGTCACAGAGGCGACACCAAGGCGCCAGGCCAAACACACCCAGCAAACTGGGAAAGGAAACTGAAGCAGAGACACCACGGAGACAGTGACCCAACAACCATCAAAAACACGAAACAGAATTTAGAGTTGCTATCATATACTATCCAAAATGTCCACATTTTAATAAAAAATTACTGGGCATGCCAAAAAAAAAACAGGAAAGTGTGACCCATATAGAGGCATATACAGGGGGAAAAGCAGTTAGAGTGAGCCCAGATTTTGGCTTTAACAGGCAGACACTTCAAAGCAGCTATTATAGCTATGTTCAAATAGTTTTAGAAATGCTGACAATGAATAAGAAAAGGGAATCTCCAAATAGGGAAATAGTATGTAAAAAAAGAACCACGTGGAAATTCTAGAGTTTAAAAGCACGGTAGCTCAAATGAAAAACTCACGGATAGATTCAACAGCAGATTTGAAATGACAGAAGAAAATATCAGTGAATTTAAAGGTAGACTAATATCATCCAATCTAAAGAACAGAGGAAAGACTGACGAACAATTAAAAGAGCCTTGAGGACTTTGGAGTCGTCATCCCAATTTAAGTGTCATGTGAGTCCCAGAGGAGGAGAGAGGAAAGCGTAGAAAAAATATTTAACAAATAATGGCTGAAAACTTCCCAAATTTAATGAAAAACCCTAACTTACGGATCCAAAAGCTCAATGAAACTCCAGTAGGATAAACAAAACATAAAAATCTTGAAAGCAGCAAGAGAAAAATGATCTATCACATATAATGGGACAACAGTAAAATTAACATTCAAGTTCTCATTGGAAACAATGCAGACCAGAAAGCTAGTGGCATCATATATTCAAAGGGCTGGGAAAAAAAATCAACCTCTCAATTATGAATTCTGTATCCAGCAAAACCATTCTTTAAAAAGGAAGTCGAAATAAAGATTTTACCAGAAAAGCGAGACCTCAGAGAACACATTACTAGCAGACTGACACTGCTAGCAGATCTATTATGGGTTGTCAGACTATATGAAAACACACAATCCAACAAAAAGTACCCACAAGAGACACACTTTAGATTCATAGACACAAATAGGTTAAAACTATAAGACGGAAAATGATATGCCATGCCATGAACGAAAAAGGGGTTATGTAAAAACCCCGGGGTCCCAGAGGGCCACGTGGCAGTCCTGAGAAGCTCAGTGACCGAACGGGTGGGCTGACCACAGACTCTTAACTGGGCAGGTCATAGCGGGCAGTCCCGTCCCAGTCCGGGTCCCAGGCCTCCAGCTCCCTTAGGAAGAGGTTCATCTTTACCGTCCCTGAGCCTGTCCATTGTTCACCTAGAATAATGTCGCTTTGAAATCCCAGGGTGAGCTTCTTTTCCAAACCTCTCAGAGGCAACAGCACCCCAGCACCAGACCTGCTGTCACCTAGATGTTCCACACCGTCTCTGTGTGCTGTGCATGTGAACGGTAACTGTCCTGCACCCACCACTGTAGGAAGAATCATGTGTCTCTCTGTTTTACTTTGTATCCAATCCCGGAGACTTCCCCCCTTTGTTTTCTCCCATCTCGTTAATCCACTGCCCACGGATTTCATAAAACCAAAGAACTGCCAAACGGCCGTTCCCCGCGGCATTTTTTCAATCCGTTGCGATCTTGCTCCCGGGCATGTCCTCAAAAATTTGGCTCAGATAAAATAAACGCTTATAAAATTTTTCTGTTTGTTTCAACATCCTTTCATCGACCTTGTAAACAGTAATTGTAAGTAAGCTGGAGCGTTTTATTAATATCAGACAAAATGGGCTTTAGGACAAAGGAAATTCCTAGAGATAATATTTCCTAATGAAAAAAGATCACTATGTCAAAAACTATAACAATCATAAATGTATATATACCTAACAAAAGAGCCCCAAAATACGTAGAGCAAAAAAGTGACATAACAGAAAGGAAAAGCAGATAATTCAACAATTTCAGTTGGGAGATTTCATACTTTATTCTCAGTACGCGGCGGCCAGGAGAAGTAACTCAAAGGCCTCTGCCAAAAGGAACATGATTGACCAAGAAATCCAGCTAGTGTGTTGTGAAATAAACTCGAGTTTGCAACCCGGCCACGCTCCCCCATGCTGGTGGGACAGGTCCACCCCAGCGATGCGAGGCTCCTTCCTCATCTCTCTCCTCAGGCTCAGGGCTGTATTGCAGTCTGATGGCTTTCTCCCCATGTTCCCTCACAACCTTTCCCCCTAAAAGATCTTGTATGTTTAATCCCATCTTGACAGCTGCTGCTTAGAGGACCCAGGAATGGTACCAAGAGTGTTCCA